CAAAAGAAGACATACATGAGGCCAACAAACATATGAAAATATGCTCATCATCACTGGTCAGTAGAGAAATACAAATCAAAACTACATTGAGATACCACCTCACACCAGGTAGAATGGCGATCATTAAAAAATCTGGAGACAACAGATGCTGGAAAGGATGTGGAGAAATAGGAACACTTTTACACTGTTGGTGGGAGTGTAAATTAGTTCAACCATGTGAAAGACAGTGTGGCGATTCCTCAAGGACCTAGACGTAGAAATTCCATTTGACCCAGCAATCCCATTACTGGGTATAGATTCAAAGCATTATAAATCGTTCTACTATAAGGACACATGCATATGAATGTTCATTGCAGCACTGTTTACAATAGCAAAGACCTGGAACCAACCCAAATACCCATCGATGATAGACTGGACAGGGAAAATGTGGCACATATACACCATGGAATACTATGCAGCCATCAAAAATGATGAGTTCATGTCCTTTGTAGGGACGTGAATAAACCTGGAAACCATCATTCTCAGCAAACTGACACAAGAACAGAAAATCAAACACTGCATGTTCTCACTCATAAGTGGGTATTGAACAATGACAACACATGGACACAGGGAGGGGAGCATCACACACTGGGGTCTGTGGGTGGAAATAGAGGAGGGACAGCGGGGGATGGGGAGTTGGGGAGAGATAGCATGGGGAGAAATGCCAGATATAGGTGATGGGGAGGAAGGCAGCACATTCACTTCATGTGTGTACCTATGCAACAATCTTGCATGTTCTTCACATGTACCTGAAAACCTAAAGCACAATTTAAAAAAAATTGAAAGAAAAAAAATTAGTTTATCATTTGGCTCAAAGGCTAGTCATGTTTACCTGGTCATAATAATATAAAACCTAACTACTAATTTAACAAAAAGTTATGATAGAATCTAAATTGGGAGAATGCAAGGATATAAAATGAAAAGAGAATAGAGTTAAATCCTCACATTATCAATTCTTAATTTATAAAAAAGTAATATCTAAAATATTTAAGTCAAGAAGTGGTTATAAAGTATACTTTTTAGAAAGACAGAGGTAAATACTAGAAGAAAAAGTTAAAGGACGTGAAAGTGTTAGACATGAAAGTGTTTGCCTTCAAAGAGAGAAACAGAGTAAGGAGAAATTAACAACTGTCTTGTATTTTTGTGGTAAATCTTCAAGAACTGCTTTATTTGTTCAATCATGTATATGTATTACTTTGACTTTAAAGAAAAAATTTTTTAATAATTTAATAATTATTTAGACTAGAAGATTTTACAACACCTTACCTCATGCTTAAGTATTCTAAGTGATTTCTTTTTGACACAGCAGGAGTGTTGTACCCAATACCCCAACCACAAAGAAAACTCTTACTTTGTCTCTTCAATGTCCATCTTCTTTTCTTTTTCTTTCTTTCTTTCTTTTTTTTTTTTGAGAAAGAGTTTCACTCACTCTGTCACCCAAGCTGGAATGTACTGGTGTAATCTTGGCTCACTATAATCTCCCCCTCCCAGATTCAAGCGATTCTCCTGCCTCAGCCTCCCAAGTAGCCAGGACTACATAGATGCACTACCACGTCTGGCTAATTTTTGTATTTTTATTAGAGACAGGGTTTCACCATGTTTGCCAGGTTGATCTTGAACTCCTGACCTCATCAGGTAATCCAACCACCTCAGCCTCCCAAAGTGTTAGGATTACCAGCATGAGAGAGAAGAAGAGAAATGGGAAAGAGGGAGACTTTACATTGTATATCTTTAAAAAAAATTTTTTTTCTTTTTTTCATTTTTTTCTTTTTTACATCTTCTGAAACTTTTAAAACTTTTTAATTTTTAACCCTGTGAAATTATTGTCTACCCAAATAATTTTTATAAAAAAATTTAAGTCATTTCTTTATCTTGATTCAAAATTCAAATATTTTCAAAAATTATTTTCAGAAACCTGGGAAATAACAAAAATAAAGAAAATGATACTCCAAAGATCCCATCTGCCCAGAAGCAGGGGAAACAAAGATACTTTACTGATTCAAGCTGTGAATCCTGTTACCCAAGAGAACCTTGGTAAAGATCTCAAACTGCAAAATTTTGCACATTTAAGTCAGAAATGAGGGGACTGAACCTTCATACCAAAACCACAGCTCCTACATGAATGCAGTAAGGAAAATGTTGAGACTTTAGCTGGGGGGTGGGGGTGGGGGAGGCAGTGCTTTTAGTAATGGCACACCACTGAGAGATAACAGAAAGACTAACATTATCGAAACTTCACAATTTTCATGCCATTTTTAAAAATCACAGCGTTTAATGTTAGTGGTCATGACATTCAAAATTACTAAAGCATTTTATCATCACATCCATTTACTGAAGGAGAAAATGCCATAATATTAATAGTTTCTGGTGGTGCTGACATTTCAATGGAGAAATAAGTTTTTAATACAACCTATAAGCCCTCCCACCCATCCACACATACCTAGAATTGCATATTTGACACTATTAACACCATTCCAAATTTGGAACCCGGGCGTGTGATTGTGGATGGAAAGCAAACCTAAGCAAATTTGGGAAAAAATAATTCTTCAAAATTGATGACCAAAAACAAAATAAGAACGCTCAAAACTTATTTAGAAAACAAAAGTGTCAATGTACATTCAAATGATTACCCTGATGTGGAAAATTATTTTGAATGAGATATAGGAATACCATATAATTCACCAAATCATTATGAACACAAGGCACTTTTTAAAATGAGCAGTCCCCAACAAATTCCTTAAACCACTCAGTTCTCATAAATCAGCACTAAATAAGTTTTCCTGGCCACCAAAAAACTTCCCCGGCGGCAAAAGGTATGCAAGCACTACATTTTGTAGCTCCTCCTCAGTATACAACATTAAATACAAAAACACTAAGAATCCCGACAACAACGGACCAGAAAACAATACTGAAATCCTTGAAGCATATGTAAAAGAATCACGGAAAGGCTAAATTAGGGATGCTTTTTGATTTTACAAGACAATTAACTGTAACACTGCAATTTTATTTATTTTTAATTTTATTTTATTTTATTTTATTTTATTTATTTATTTATTTATTTATTTATTTGAGACGGAGTTTCGCTCGTTACCCAGGCTGGAGTGCAATGGCGCGATCTCTGCTCACCGCAACCTCCGCCTCCTGGGTTCAGGCAATTCTCCTGCCTCAGTCTCCCGAGTAGCTGGGATTACAGGCACGCGCCACCATGCCCAGCTAATTTTTTTTATCTTTAGTAGAGATGGGGTTTCACCATTTCGACCAGGATGGTCTCAATATCTTGACCTCGTGATCCACCCGCCTCGGCCTCCCAAAGTGCTGGGATTACAGGCGTGAGCCACCGCGCCCGGCCTAACACTGCAATTTAAAAAAAAAATTAAAGTACTTAAGTTTTCCCTAGTTACTAAATAGAGTAGCATTGTTTCCCAACATCCTAGTAAGAACAATTACAGTATTCTACAATCCCTCCATATGCCTTCATTTTTAAAAAATCCATAACCTTCCAATCCTCAGAATTCTGGCCGCAGAAGATAAGTTACAGCACCTCTTTCTCAAGCCAGCAATCCTTTTCCGGGTCCTAATGGGGTAAGAAATAGGCACTCCTTTTCCAGTCAAATTAACCCAGGGGCCTGGGAAAGGGCAAAGCAAGCTGAAACAATGTCACCCGAACTTGGACCTGGAAACCAGAGCCAAGAAGGATGACATAACACCAGAGCGTTCTGCTTCTGCAAAATGTCTATCATTCTCTCCACTCCCGGAGGCTCTCAGCAGCTCACACAAACGCCACAAAGATTGGGAGAAGGCAGTACAGCACTGGTATTCATTTATATCAAGAAAGAGCAATTAGCTTCATTACTCCGAGCGTCCGTCGCAGCCTGCTCCATTCAAAGGACTGGAGGCAGACTCAGGCAAGAAGGATGAAAAGAAATAGCTGATGCTGCTATGAAGTGACCCCCAGATGGGGACGTGAGCAGTGTCCCTTGTGACTCTCGGAACATCCAAATCGCTGCAATAAACAGCCAGGCCAGCAGGACAGCCTCTCCCACGCTAGGGACAGCCCGAAGTCTGCAGCACTACGGCTGACTCCTTCCGATAAGTGGATGGGGGCGGCGGGGGGGTGGGGCCCGAGTTATTTACACCACTCCTAAGCAAAGTGGAAAAACAAAACCAAAAACATATCTTTCAAAACTGATGATTCAAAACACAGTGCGTAGCTACTCTACTCTACCGTACTATGAGAAATTTTTTTTCTTTCTTTTTCTTTTTTAGGACCACTGCAGCTGGGTCGGGCAGTAGGGGAGAGAGAGTGGATTAACTCTGAGGAATTTTTCTCATGAAAGAAATCTATTACCATACAATAAGAAGCTCAAAACTTATTATTTAGAGAGGGTAAAGGGGGTCAATGTTGCATTCATATGACTACTCTGACATCAAAAACTATTTTTGGATGAGATAGAGCATATTATGCAATTCTACAATGGAATTTTTTTTTTACAAGAGTAATCTTTAAAAACAGCTGGAGCTGGTCCAAGCGATTTCACCGACACAGAAGCCACGTTGCGCCCCCTCAGCCCACAACTCCCAGATACCCTGCAGTGTGAGGGGATCATTCAAGAACCGCCGTCTCCCCAGACCCGTGCGCAAAGCGTGGCGCGTCCACTGAGCCGGCATAGAGTCGCCGGAGGCGCTGCCACTGCGAGGCCAAGACAAGTGTCCGGGAGAGCGCCGGCCCCGCCAGGCGTTCTGCTGCTATTCGCTAATCCACTGGCACACCCGCCCCTGCAACTGAGCGCTAAAGACGGGTTTGGGGAGTGACAGTCACGAGGGAAATCCAGACCCCAGTCCCGCGACGCGGGGACGCCAAGGTGCGGCGCCCTGCTGGCCCGCCCCTTCCTGCCCACCCACCTCCAACTGCCCCAGAGCAAGGGCGAGGGCGGGAGGTACGGGGCAAAGGCAGCGCTCACCGCTTCAGCGGGTCAGACACCTGCGGTGCCCCAGCAGTCGCGGAATCCGAGCTCGGCGCGAAGGCCCGGGCTGCCGCCGGGTTGGTTCTCCCCGCAGGAACGCCGTCCCGGGGCATCGCCGACGGCGCGCGCGACTCTCCGCGCGCCCCACACGCCTTGCACGCCGCGGCTTGAGCCTCAGGGCGCAGGACTCCGCGCGGCGGGGCCCGCCCACCCCCGAGGTCAGCCAATGGACACCGAGCGCGGGAAGCCGGGGGCGGGCCGCTCTGCCGCCGAGTAACACAGCAGGCTCCGCGGTCCTACGCGCCCGCCCTTCCAAAGGACCCGGAGCTGTCTGGGATTGGGGGAGCACCTTCCTCAAATAGAAGGTCTGTGAAGCCTAAGGTATTCGGAACGGGCTACTGCTTTTGTGGGGGTCTTTCTGTACTTTCTAAAACTAATAATTTCTTCGCCCGCTGTTTACAGAACACCTATGGAGGGCCAGCGATAGTGCTTGTGAACACACGGGAATGAGAAAAAGCTGGCCGGGCGCGGTGGCTCACGCCTGTAATCCCAGCACTTTGGGAGGTCGAGGCGGGCGGATCACAAGGTCAGGAGTTTGAGACCAGCCTGGCCAACATGGTGAAACCCTGTCTCTACTAAAGATACAAAAAAATTAGCCGGCCGTGGTGGCGGGAGCCTGTAATCCCAGCTACTCAGGGGGCTGAGGCAGGAGAATCACCTGAACCCGGGAGATGAAGGTTGCAGTGAGCCGAGATCGCCCCACTGCACTCCAGCCTGGGCAACAGAGCAAGACTCTGCCTCAAAAAAAAGAAAGAAAAGAAAAAGCTTCCACTTTCGAGGATCCCCCAGTCATTCCGGTGGATGAACAGATATGAACACAGGTAAATTAGGGGAGCCCACATAAGGCACATTCCAACATTAAAAGACATGGAATAGCAGTGGCGTCTGCCGGTGGTCCCGGGATGAACCTGTTTTGAATTAGGACACATCCCAGAGAACAGCTTCTCTATTTCTCTGTCCGCTTCACCTAAACCTGGCAAAGCAGGCACACAAGGGAGGAGTCCAGAAAGGTGACAGGAGACTATTTTCTAGTTTAAGGAACACAGAAAAAGGAACAAGGGAAAAAGTGGGAAAAACTCGGGAGGATGAGGCAGGAGACTGCAATGAGTCATAATTGCGCCATTTCACTCCAGTCCAGTGTCTTTAAAAAAAAAAAAAAAAAAAGGCTTGTTGTGATGTGGGGCGGCGTGTAGGGGATGAAGAGATTTCGGTCAGAGGACAGCTAAGAGATTTGTTATCGTGGAATTCTGGGGGCCATGATTCGCAATGGAGAACAATCCACATTCGTTTTCTTTTTTCTTCAACTTTTATTTTAACTTCAGGGATACATGTGCAGAACATGCTCATTTGTCACATAGGTATACATGTGCCATGGTGGTTTGCTGCATCTATCAACCCGTCATCTAGGTTTTAAGCCCCACATGCATTCGGTGCTTCTCCTAATTCTCTCCCTCCCCTTGCCCCCAACCTCCAACAGACCCCAGTGTGTGTTGTCCCCTCCCTGTGCCCATGTGTTCTCAATATTCAACTCCCACTTGTGAGTGAGAACATACAGGGTTTGGTTTTCTGTTCATGTGTTAGTTTGCTGGGGATGATGGCTTCCAGCCTCATTTATGTCCCCCATGAGGACATGATCTCATTCTTTTTTATGGTTGCATAGTATTCCATGGTGTATATGTACCACATTTTCTTTATCTGGTCTATCGTTGATAGGCATTTGGGTTGGTTCCCTGTCTTCGCTATTATAAATAGTGCTGCAATAAACATACGTCTGCATGTGTCTTTATAGTAGAATGATTTATATTTCTTTGAGTATATACCCAGAAATAGGGTTGTTGGGTCAAATGATATATCTGGTTCTAGATCCTTGAGGAATCGCCACACTGTCTTCCACAATGGTTGAACTAATTTACATTTCCACCAACAGTGTTGTGCAATCTTATTTCTAAGTTATTCTGGCCCATTGGTCTATGTGTCTGTTCTTGTACCAGTACCATTCTGTTTTGGTTACTGTAGCCTTGTAGTACCCCTTGAAGTTAGGTAGTGTGATGCCTCTAGCTTTGTTTCTTTTTGCTTAGGATTGTCTTGACTATTTGGGCTCTTTTTCGGTTCTGTATGAATTTAAAATAGTTTTTTCTAATTCTATGAAGAATGTCAATGGTAGTTTAATGGGATTAGCATTGAATCTACAAATTACTTTGGGCAGTATGGCCATTTTCACGATATTGATTCTTCCTATCCATGAGCATGGAAAGTTTCTCCATTTGTTTGTGTCGTCTCTGATTTCTTTGAGCAGTGGTTTGCAGTTTTTGAAGAGGTCCTTCATTTTCCTTGTTAGCTGTATTCCTAGGTATTTTTTTTGTTTTTGCAGCAATTGTGAATGGGAGTTTATTCATAGTTTGACTCTACTTGCCTATTGTTGGTGTATAGGAATGCTAGTGATTTTTGCACATTGATTTTGTATTCTAAGACTTTGATGAAGTTTCTTATCAGCCTAAGAAACTTTGGGGCTGAGACAATGGGGTTTCCTAGATATAGGATCATATCATCTGCAAAAAGATAATTTGATTTCCTCTCTTTCTGTTTGAATACACTTTATTTCTTTCTCTTGCCTAATGGCCCTAGCCAGAACTTCCAAAACTATGTTGATTAGGAGTGGTGAGAGAGGGCATCTTTGTCTTGTGCTGCTTTTCAAGGAGAATGCTTCCAGCTATTGCCCATTCAGTATGGTATTGGCTATGGGTTTGTCATATATGACTCATATTATTTTGAGGTGTTTCTTCAATACCTAGTTTATTGAGAGTTTTTAACATGAAAGAAGGTTGAATTTTATCAAAGGTCTTTCTGCATGTGGTTTTGGTCTTTAGTTCTATTTATGTGATGAATCACATTTGTTGATTTTTGTACATCAAACCAACCTTGCATCCCAGGGATGCATCCCAGGGATGAAGCCTACTTGATCGTCATGTATAAGCTATTGGATATGCTGCTGAATTCCGTTTGCCAGTATTTTTTTTTTTTTTTTTTTAAACAGAGTCTTGCTCTGTCACCCAGGCTGGAGTACAGTGATGCAATCTCAGCTCACTGAAGCCTCTGCCTCCCGGGTGCAAGCGATTCTCCTGCCTCAGCCTCCTGAGTAGCTGGGATGACTGGTGTGCACCACTGGGCCTGACTAATTTTTTTGTTTTTTAGTAGAGATGGGGTTTTACCATGTTGGCCAGGCTGGTCTGAAACTCCTGACCTCAAGTAACCTGCCTGCCTTGGCATCCCAAAGTGCTGGGATTACAGGCATGAGCCTCCATGCACAGCCTAGTTTGTCAGGATTTTATTGAAGATTTTTGCATCGATGTTCATCAAGGATATTGGCCTTAAGTTTTCTTTTTCTGTTGTGTCTCTGCCAGGTTTTGGTATCAGGATGATGCTGGCCTCATAGAATGAGTAGGGAGGAGTCCTTCCTTTTCGGTTTTTTGGATTTGTTTCAGTAGAAATGGTACCAGCTCTTCTTTGTACCTCTGGTAGAATTCAGCTGTGAATCTGTCTGGTCCTGGGCTTTTCTGGATTGGTAGGCTATTTATTACTGTCTTAATTTCAGAACTTATTATTGGTCTATTCAGTGATTCAGTTTCTTCCTGGTTCGGTCTTGGAAGGGTGTATGTGTCCAGGAATTTATCCATTTCATCTAGACTTTCTAGTTTATGTGCATAGAAGCATTTATAGTATTCTCTGATGGTTGTATTTCTGTGGGGTTGGTGATGATATCCCCCTTATCTCTGATTGTGTTTGATTCTTCTATCTTTTCTTTTTTATTAATCTAGGTAGTGGTCTTACTATTTTTTTTTCCAAAAAAACAGCCCCTGAATTTGTTGATTTTTTTTTTTTGGAAAGGGTTTTTTATGTCTCTATCTCCTTCAGTTCAGCTCTGATCTTGGTTATTTTTTGTCTTCTGCTAGCTTTGGGATTTCTGTGCTCTTGGTTCTCTAGTTCTTTTAGTTGAGATGTTAGATTGTTAACTTGAGATCTTTCTAGCTTTTTGAATATGGACATTTAGCACTAAACATTTCCTTCTTAACACTCCTTTAGCTCATCCCAGAGATTCTGGTACATTGTCACTTTGTTCTCATTAGTTTCAAAGAATTTATAGATTTCTGCCTAAGTTTATTATTTACTCAAGAGTCATTCAGGAGCAGGTTGTTCAATTTTTATGTAGTTATGTGGTTTGGAGTCAATTTCTTAATTTTGAATGCTAATTTGACTGTGTTATGATCTGAGAGACCATTATGATTTCAGTTCTGTTGCATTTGCTGAGGAGAGTTTTACTTCCAATTATGTGATCAATTTTAGAGTAAGTGCCATGTGGCACTGAGAAGAATGTATATTCTGTTGTTTTTAGGTGGAGATTTTTGTAGATATCTATCAGGTCCCCTAGATCCAGAGCTGAGTTCAGGTCCTGAATATCTTTGTTAATTTTCTGCCTCAATGATTTATTTAATATTGTCAGTGGAATATTAAAGTCTCTCGTTATTATAGCATGGAGTTTAAGTCTCTTCGTATGTCTCTAAGAACTTGCTTTATGAATCTAAGTGCTTCTGTATTGGGTGCATATATATTTAGGATAGTTAGCTCTTCTTGTTGCATTGAACCCTTTACCATTATGTAATGGTGTTCTTTGTCTTTTTTGATGTTTATTGATTTAAAGTTTGTTTAGTTGGAAAGTAGGATTGTGACCCTTGCCTTTTTCTGTTTTCCATTTGCTTGGTAAATTTTACCCCATCCCTTTATTTTGAGCCTATGTGTGTCTTTGCATATGAGTTGGATCTCGAAGAAAGCATACCAAAGGATCTTGGCTCTTTAAACAGCTTGCCATTTTGTGTCTTTTAATTGGGGGCATTTAGCCTATTTTCATTTAAGGTTAGTATTGTTAAATGTGAATTTGATCCTGTCATCATGATGCTAGCTGGTTATTTTGCCAACTTGTTTATCTGGTTGCTTAACATTGTCACCGGTCTGTGTACTCCAGTGTGTTTTTGCAGTGGCTTGTAATAGTTTTTGATTTCCATATTTAGTGCTTCCTTCAGGAGCTCTTACAAGGAAGGCTTGGTAGTTACAAATTCCCTCAGCATTTGCTTGTCTGAAAAGGATCTTATTTCTCCTTCACTTATGAGGCTTAGTGTGGCTGGATATGAGATTCTGGGTTGGAAATTCTTTTCTTTAAGAAATTGAGTATTGGCCACCAATCTCTTCTGGCTTGTAGGGTTTCTGCTGAGAGGTCTGCTGTTAGTCTGTTAGTCTGGTCACCTTGGTAGGTGATCGGGCCTTTCTCCTAGCTGCTCTTAACATTCTTTCTTTCATTTCAACCTTGGAGAATATGATGATTATGTGTCTTGGGGTTGATGGTCTCATGGAGTATCTCACTGGGGTTCTCTGCATTTCCTGAATTTGAATTTTGGTCTATCTTGCTAGGTTGGAGAAGTTCTGGATGACATCCTGAAGTATGTTTTCCACCTTGGTTTCATTCTCTCCATCTCTTTCAGGTACCCCAGTCAGTTGTAGGTTTGGTCTCTTTACGTAATCCCATATTTCTTAGAGGTTTTTTTCATTCCTTTTCATTCTTTTTTTTCCCTATTATTGTTTGCCTGCCTTATTTCAGAAATATAGTCTTCAAGCTCTGAGATTCTTTTCTCCCCTTGGTCTGTTCTGCTCTTGATACTTGTGATTGCATTGTGAAGTTCTCATGTTGTGTTTTTCAGCTTCATCAGGTCTGTTATGATTCTCTCTAAACTGTCTATTCTGGCTATTAGCTTCTGTATTGTTTTATCATGAGTCTTAGTTTTTTCGCATTGGTTAAAACATGCTCCTTTAGTTCAGCAAAGTTCATTATTACCCACCTTCTGAAGCCACTTTTGTCAATACAGCTATCTTGGCCTCAGCCCAGTTCTGTGCCTTTGCTGGAGGGTGTTGTGGTCATTTGGAGAAGAGGCATTCTGGCTTTTTGAGTTTTCAGTGTTTTTGCATTGATTCTTTCTCATCTTTGTGGGCTTAACTGCTTTTGATCTTTGAGGTTGCTGACTTTTGAGTAGGGTTTTTGTGGAGTCTTTTTTGTTAATGATGTTGTTGTTGTTTTGTTTGCTTGTTTGTTTTACTTTTAATAATCAGGCCACTCTACCATGGGGCTTCTGTGGTTTCCTGGGGTTTGCTCCAGACCCTAGTTGCCTCAGTTTTTCCCATACTTGGAGTATCACCAGTAATGGCTGCAAAACAGCAAAGATGGCAACCAGCTCCTTCCTATGGAAGCTCCATCCCAGGGGAGTACTGACTGGTTGCCTGCACCAACACACCTGTAGGAGGTGGATGGAGACCCTTGTTGAGAGGTCTCACCCAGTCAAGAGGAACAGGATCAGGGACCCACTTAAAGACCCTCCATATAGGAGCTCTTCCCAAGGAGAGATGAGAGCTCTATTTGTAGAATCCTGGCTGCAGTGTCTGAAGCCCCTGAGGGGAGATCCCACCCAATAAGGAGGAATGGATCAGGGTCCTGCTTAAAAAAGCAGTCTGACCAGAATCAAGCGAGGCAGCTGTGCTGTGTTGTGGAAGACTCTTCCTCGTCTGGACCATTTGTATTGTCCAAAGCCATTAGGCTACTACTAGACTATTACTGAACTGCAGAGATGGTGGTCACCCTTTCCCCCACTAGCATGGCTATAATCAAAAAGATAGATAATAGCTAGTGTTGGCAAGTGTATAGACTGAATTGTATCCCCTTAAGATTCCTGTGGTGAAGCTCTGGCCCCCAATGTGATTGTATTTGAATATAGGCCCTTTAGACAAGTACTGAAGGTTAAATGAAGTCATAAGGGTAAGATCCTAATCCAGTATGACTGGTATCTTTATGAGAGAAGAAAGAGACACCATGGATATATGCACAGAGAAAAGGCTATGTGAGGACACAATGAGAAGGCAGCCATCTGCAAACCAAATCTTCTCATACCTTGATCTTGAACTTCTAGTTTCCAGAATTGTGAACAAATACATTTCTGATGTTTAAGCCACCCAGTCTGTGGTATTTTGTTTGGCAGCCTTAGCAAACTAATACAGCAAGAACGTGGAGAAATTGGGACCCTTATATACTGCTGGTGGGATTGAAAAATGGTACAGCCACTTTGAAAAACAGTCTGGTAGTTACTAAAACAGTTGAACATAGAGTTACCATATGACCCAGCAATCTTTGAGATAATGAAATGTTGTAAAATTGTGGTGATAGTTGCACACTCTGTGAATATACTACATGGAATTCATGGAATTGTACACTTTCAATGGAGGAATTGTATTTAAATATATCTTGATAAAGATGTTAAAATCATCACTCAGATTTTACTGAACAAGGGTCAAAGTAACTCAGATGTGGTAGCTCATGCCTGTAATCCCAGCACTTTGGGAAGCCAAGGCAGGCGGATCACCTGAGGTCAGGAGTTCAAGACCAGCCTGGCCAACATGGTAAAACCCCGTCTCTACTAAATACAAAAACTTAGCTGGGTGTGGTGATGCATGCCTGTAATCTCAGCTACTTGGGAGACTGAGGCAGGAGAATCTCTTGAACCCAGGAGGCAGAGGTTGCAGCTGAGACTGTACCATTGCACTCCAGCCTGGGCGATAAGAGCAAAATGCTGTCTCACAAAACAAGTATGTGTATAAATAGTTCATACATGAAGGAACTGAGAAAAGTTAATTTTGGGGAAATTATTAGCCTTGCTGCAGTGCTAATTGAAAATTACAGAAGAGAATATTGATGGAGTTAAATTGATACAATTATTTATTAGAACAACTTTTCAAGAGTGCTGTAGCAAAGCACACGATCTATGAAATTATTTATTTTCAGCTAATAATCTACATTTGGGAATATAGTCAAAACTTTTCAAATACCCAATAATTGGGAAGGTACATAGATACAATAATTGGGATTAAAGTAGCAAGCATGGGCTATATTATAATAATAAATGGAAAAGTATGTATAAGATAATGAGAAAAGTAGAATACTAATTAGTTTGCAAATGCTGATGACTATACATAAGTAAGCCTACGTTGTTGAATATAATGAAGATAAATTAGTAAGACATGGTACCAGAATTCCTCTTAGGGAGAAAAAATCCTATCTTCATTTGAGAAAATACCCTGATAAGCTGTTTCAGGTATAAAATGAGACTCTGAAATATGGGTGTGAGCAGAAGCCCTGGCAACACAAGAAAGACTGCCCTGCATAAACGAGAGAAATTAACTTTTGCTCCTGAGAGAAAAAAATAAAGTGATGAGAAGAGATGAGCCAAGCAAGGAGGAAAGGGGGGAGAAGTCTGGGTGGGACATAAAATTAAGGAATAATGGAGAAAGAGTTGAAAAATTGACTTTTCTAGAACAAGAGTATCTAATACATAAATTTAAAGTTATTTTTCTAAATCTTAAAATCTCACGAAAGCTTTATGTGAATGGGGTTTTGTGGAAACTGAGGGTTGATATTGAGATGGTTGGAACAGTGAAAAGACAGTGCACATGGAAGCAGGAGCTCGGGGGTAGAAGGGACAGATGAAAATAAGCCCCTGAGAAATTACTGGTAATCAAACAGGCATAGCAGCTCATGCCTGTAATCCTAGCACTTTGGGAGGCTGAGGCGGGTGGCTTACTTGAGTCCATTAGTTTGAGACCAGCCTGGACAGCATGTTGAAATCTCATTTCTACAAAAAAAAAATTGGCCAGGCACATTTCTATAGTCCTAGCTGCTAGGGAGGCTGAAGTGAGAGGATCGATTGAGCCAGCAAGGTCGAAGCTGCAGTGAGCCGAGACCATACCCCCATACTATAGCCTAGGTGACAGAAAGTGACCATGTCTCAAAAAAGAAAGAAAGAAAGAAATTACTAGTGATGGTAATCTTTGAAGGGCTATGGACACCCAAATTGGATATCTGAGACGATCTTATTTAGATTGCAAAGAGAAGGGAGGCTCTAGCTGACATTTTCCTTACATAAGGATAAGAAGATAACATGATGTAAATGTAGATATTTTAAGTTTATGGTATGCATTTTTTTTAAATTGCATTTGTTCTAACAACATTGATTCCCATCTACTAACTAAAACAGAATAAATGGATCCTGGTTAAGCTCCTGCCTCAGTGAAATCCAGTGGACATGATTAGGAGAAATGGAAATGAATATGTAAAATGTAACAATTTATACTCACTCTCACTTAGCAGTAAGGTTGGAAGGAATCTAGGTGAGGCCATCCAAATTTAGAGAAATTATCCTTTTTTTTTTTTGAGACAGGATCTTACTCTGTTGCCCAGTTTTGAGTGCAGTGGTGTACACACAGCTCCCCGTAGCTTTGACCTCCCAGGCTCACTTGATTCTCCCACCTCAGCCTCCTGAGTAGCCACATAGGTGTATGCCACAATGCCCAGCTAATTTTTTTTTTTTTTTTTTTTTTATAGAGATGGAGTTTTGCCGTGTTGCCCAGGCTGGACTTGAACTCCTGGGCTCAAGCAGTGTGACCACCTTGACCTCCCAAAGTGCTAGGATTAAAGGCACAAGCCACCATGCCCTGCCAGGAAAATCATTCTAATATATTCTATGTTGAAGTGTTACTAGAGCAAAAATATGATCAAATGTTCAAGCAGGGTGGTATGTGAGAAAAATTCAAAAGAATGAATGTGTAAATGACACTCTCAGGGAGCATTTAGAAGTCCTTAATTTCCCAACTCCAGAATTCATGACTTCCATTGATTTGGCCAGAGGAGGATTACTAAACAGCCCTGATTTACAGATGGCAGGTCTGTGGCACAGGGCCCAGAAGTGATTTTCCCAAGGTTATAGAGCAAGCCAAAGGGTGAGTTGAAAATAGAACCGTACTTCACATTTCCATGCAGCTATATGATAACTTGTGTACTGTCAGCAAAGAGTTGAGGAATGAATGTCCTGGAGAGGTTAGCATAGTTTTATGGCTAAAGGAGTCTTGCTCAATAATTGCAAATGTTACTTGACAACAGCAAATGACCTACCTAATCTTATAAACAGTAACATCCTGGGCACTTAGGCAAAATCTTCAAAGAAAATAAAGTGCCTGTTTGACAATTGAAAAAGAATTTTAAATGCACAGCTCCATTGTCATAAAGCTACCACTTTTGTAATGCTTAAGCCTATAGTCACCTTCAACCCTCCCTGCTAAAGACTAAACTTTCAAGTGGTGACTCCTCAACTCTGTAATATCAGCCAGCTTACAGGATCTTGCAGAGTGTCTAAATGTTTTCATAAGTGTGGATTTTCTAAAGACTAAGTTTCACTGGTAACTTTCTGTAAGTTTATTTACTGAATTAACAGAACTACAGAGGAGAATGGGAAAGTCTGATAGGTACAGCCTAGGGTTCAGCCACTAAATTTAGGTCTCTAGGTAGCCAGGCTATGGAGAGATCGCTTACCTAGCTGTGATGCTTATACCTGGGGACGTTTTAGGAAAACAACAAAAGCTAGGTCCACTATTATGTGACTCTTCTCTAGGGTGGATTCTTACACTATACTGATCTATTCAATAGAGAGCTTAAAATTTTATGTTTTCAGGAGTGTGTTAATCCCATTCCCACTTTTCAGAAAGAATTTTTAAAAGTGATTTCTGTGTAAATGGGGTAATACTTTTGGTCCAGCCCTAAGTGAGACTATCACAATCACAGGAATTCTTGACTCCTGGTTTCCTCCCCTTCAAATACGGAGCTACACTGTTACTGCTTCTGATCTGTTCTTCAGAGTCATGGTCCTGACCAGAAAATAACATCTAAGTGTACAACAGAAGAAAGAAAACTAGAGGTCCCACAACTATTTCTCAGCAAGCTGTCACTGACTGGTAAAATGGTGATAGAAGTCAGCCCTTTCCATAGCATAACATCATAACTGAAAGTATCTTAGAGGTCCCATAAAAAGCAGGAACTACAGAACTACTTGGACAGAATGTATGTCAAAAACATCCACCAATAAAATCTGATATATTGGAAATGTTGCCTTTATAGGTAATATTTTTTTCATAAACAATCCAATTATGAGATAAAGGAATAATCCAAACCAAATTTGCATGTAACTTTCTGCTCCTTCCATCCTTCTAGCATAAATATTTTGGCTGCTACATTTTCTTTCCCTCTAGCATCACAGTGACATACGTTAGGACTTTCTGGATTAAACATGTAAATATGTAGGTTAAACACATTTTGTTGGTCCGGTGTAGTGACTCACTCCTGTAATCCTAGTACTTTGGATGTCTGTGCATTGAGATCCTCAAGGGAGGATTCTCAAGGAAAGATCTCTTGAGGCCAGGAGTTCGAGACCCCAGCTGTGCAAAAATAAAAAATTAGCTGGGCATGATGGCGTTCACCTCTGGTCCTAGCTACAGGAGCCCAAGAATTTGAGGCTGCAGTGAGCTAGGATTGTGCCATTGCACTCCAGCCTGGGAGACCAAATGAGATCCTGTCTCTAAAGTAAATCAATAAGCACATTTTGGATGGGGCACGAATATAGCTTTATTCAGAATGCCTTTTGAGTATTCTTGGTCATTCTACTGTTTGGATTCTGGCCACATACAGGATTCATCTCTGCCAATGAAAATAGAAAAGCAGTATTTCACACAGAAGGAAAAAGAAATTTGAAGAACTGCATGGAGTCAATAGTTTATCTAGGTTGCCCATTTTCTCCCTTCTCTTAGTTTGATCCATACTCTATTTTACTGTCCTGGCTTTTTAGTTAGAACCCTGGTTTAGTAATTTCTGTGTGTACAATTCTAATGTATGGACTATTCATATTTTAATTAATTCATGTATTGATCCATCAGTCTATTTACCAACATTTTTGTTACCATAGGGAGTACAAACTCCTCCTACCCTTAATAAGACTGAAGTTAAATGGGAGAAATTGTTTGCCACAGTGACAAACACAGTGTAAAAATGTATGAAATGCTAGAGGCGTGCTTTAGGGTCAGAAAGACTTAAGTTCAAATCCAACCCCTGCCATGTATTAACTATCAAATTAGTCAACTTTATTGAGTCTCAGTTTCACCATCAAGAAAATGAGTGTGACAGTTATTTTTCAAGATGGCCCTAAATGATGCTGGAATTTATGCATTTGTGTAATCCTCTTACCTTGAATGTGAGTGGAACCTAGTGACTTGCTTCTAAAAAATAGAATTCTGGAAAAGTGATGGGATGCCACTTCCATGATAGGGATACAAATGACTATCTTCTTTCTAGATTTTTCTCCATTGCCTTTAGCTTATATACTTTGATGAATCAAGCTGTCATTTAGAGAGCCTCATGTGGGAAGGACTGAGAAAGTTGTCTAGCCAACAGTCATTGGGCAACTGAATCCTACTGACAACCATGTGAATGGGCTGGGAAGCAAATCCTTCTCAGTCAAGGCTTGAGATGACCACAGCTTCAGTCAGCACCTTGATTATAGCCTGTGAGTCTCTGAAGCAGAAGAACCAGTGAAGTCAGCCCAGATTCCCAACCCACAGAAACTCTTAGATAATAAATGTTTAAAGCCACTACGTTTTGGGGGTAATTTGTTACACATCAATAGATAACTAACATAATAGGATTACATATTCCTTACAGAATTATTGTAGGATACGTATCAGAATGTATATAAGAATTAGAATAAGGATGGTGATGATGATGATGACAACAGGAGATCCCAGATGAGCTTCAAATAGGTTCGGAACTGGTAGAAGTGCTACTGTTGTGAAGAAAATATTTTCAGTGTGTGAACCCCTGAATAGTACAAGAAAGATGAAGATATAGGGAGCAGGGTAATATTGCATTTCTCATTCAGGACCAAACTGATAGAAAGGGGCTTGTGAACAAAAACTAAAGTAGCAGTTTTATGAGACTCAGTAAACAAGAAATGTTGCTTGGGGGCCCAGGTGACAAATTTTGACAAAGAATTTGGGAGCGGGCTCTTCTCCCACTTCTGCTCAGTTTGGAGGCTAGCTACCACTATGTTTGTGATTGGTGAATGGGAGTCCATGGTAAGAAGCATAAGCACACTGGATTTGGGGCAGCTTCTGAGAAGGTAAGCTGAGGACCTACATCATCTTAAGCCAATGAAACTGAGGAGTTATGTGTCTTATAGGATATGCAGAGTTTTGACAAAGAAAGGTAAATGGATATTCTAAACTGAGGGAAGAGCACACCAAAGATTCAGGGCTATGAACATAAATTATTTCCTTAGAGATAAGCAAGTGGCCTTGTGTGACCAGAAAAAGAAGTACAAACTAGTTAACACTTCTTGTTCTGATTCTGATTCAATCTCTAGCGCAGTGATTCTCAAAACTTTTAGGTGTTAGTCTCCCTTTCTAATAATTTTCTTATAAACTATTGATAGCTTCCAAGAGCTTTTGTTTTGTGGATGATATCTTTTGAATATTTGCCATATTTAGAAATGTAAATAGATAAACTTTTTATATATTTAGTTTGCATTCATCTAAAAAAAATAAACCCATTACATGTTAACATAAATAAAACATTTTTATGGAAAATATAGTTTCTAAACCACAACCAAAATAAATAAGAAGAATGACATTCTTTCACCTTTTTTGAAAATTACTTTTGTATTCGGCCTAATAAAAGTCATCTGGATTTTCATATTTGTTTCTATATCAATCTGTAGCAGTATCATGTAGCCTCTGGAAAACAGCAGTGTACACTTGTGAGAGGATGTGAGTAAAAATGGCAAATTGTGTCTTTGTATTATGAAAATAGTTTTGATCTCCCAGACCCCCTGAGAGAGCTTCAGGGACCTGGATCCCACTTTGAAAATCACTGCCCTAGAATAAGAGCAGTAAATATTATTGAGAGAAGAAGCCAGAGGTTACATGTGTAGTAATGATAATGATGATGGTAATAAGTAATATTGAGAGCTAACATTTATTAGTTGCTTCCAAGCACTTACAAAAACCTAGGAAGTATTTACAATTATCCTTTACAGTTGAGGAAACTGAGGACAAAGACATTGAGTAACTTGCCCAAGTTTATACAGCTAGTAAGTAGTGGTGAAATCGACACAAACACGAGCAGCCTGGCTCCAAAGCCTGTCCTCTTAACCACTGCACCACCCTGCCTCTCTCACAGACAAAGGCCTGCAGTATAATTGACAAAGGCTTGAGTCATCCTGCTTACCCACTCCTTTTCCCTCCTCTCCCTGCCATTTTCAGTTTCAATGCCCCTTTCTCTTTTCCTGCCTGTTTAGGGAACTCATATTTCTCTTCACTCTGCACTAAGTCCTTGTCCGTTGCCTGTTGTTCATTATTCCCACCACTCCACAGAAACTGCTCTGCAAAGGCACTGGTGACCTTATAATTACCAGATTCAATGGCCACTTATCAGCTCTTGCCATCCTTGCCCTTTGAGATATGGGTTATCACTGACTACTTTTTTTTTTTAATAAATATTCTCTCCTGTCTTAGGTATTCTGACACCAGATGCTTTGGTTTCTTTTACTACCTATTTAATAATTTCAGAAAATCCTATATTGAGGTCTTCTTCTTTGGCCAGTCCCTTAAACATCTTAATTCCCCAGTATTTGGTTCTAGGCCCTTCTTCTCATTCTGTATCTTCTTCAACTGCCACACCATTCACTTCCATGGCCGTAATGACTAAATATACAGTGTTAAGGATCACAGGTATTATTTATAGCCCAGGCCTCTGTCATATGTCCAAATGATGCCTGGACATATCCTCAGACACCTCAGAATCAACACATTCAAATTTTAATCCATCATCTCTCCTGTGATCTCTGACCTGGGAAATTATATCACTATCCTCCATGAGCCAGACACTTGGGAGTCATTCCAGGCTTCTACCTGTCTCACAGTTCTACTGGATCTACTTCTGAAACATTTCTGATATCTACCTTTTCTTCATTTTTCTTGGTTACTACCCTAGCTCAGGCCCTCCTCTTCTTTTATCCAGACTATTATATTAGTCTCATTAGTAGTTCACTTCTAGTTCTGGCTCTTGACAGTTCATCCACAGCGACCAGGGTCACAGTCTGCACAACTCTAAGGACCATCACTACCTTGTGTCCTACATTATTGGTACCCCTGGAGTTGTAGAGCCCTGAGGCCTTGTACTATACTAGTGTCAAATCCCATGTCTGATTAGGTTACCCTATATCCAGAAACCACTTCAATGATTCCCCATTTCCTCAGGAAGCCCAAACCCTGACATGGTTAGTGTTTAGTTATTATGCCTGGATAATAAACTACTCTAAGCTTAGTGTAAACATTTTATTAGATTCATAGATTGTGGGTATCAGAGATTTGGAAAGGATATGGGAACAGAGTTTCTCTCTGTTTTTTGATGTCTTAGATGAGATACTTTCAGGGCCTTACCTGAAAGTATCTCAGCAGATGGTGATTAGGATCATCTGAAGGATCATCTCACAAGTCTGGTCCCTGGGCCAGGTGGAGAAGATCAGGACTGGTGACTACAGTACCTATGTGTAGCCTCTCCTTGTTGCTTGGTTTCTTTGTAGCTTGATGGCTTCTGGGTAGAGTATTTCAGAGTTCCAGGTGCAAGTGCTCCAGAGAACAAGGTGGAAGCTACATTGTCGTTTAACAGGCTCTGAATTTTCAGTGTCACTTCTGCCACATTTTATTGGTTATAAGCAAATTTGTCCAGCTGCAAGGGGAGGGACATAGACTTTACCTTTCAATTAAAAGAATATCAGGGCCGGGTGCGGTGGCACATGTCTATAATCCCAGCTTTGGGAGACTGAAGAAGGCAGGTCACTTGGGGTCAGGCGTTGGAGACCAGCCTGGCCAACTGGCAGAACCCTGTCTCTACTAAAACTACAAAAATTAGCTGGACATGGTGGTGCACACCTGTAATTCTAGCTACTAGGGAGGCTGAGGCAGGAGAATCGCTTGAACCTGGGAGGCTGAGGTTGCAGTGAGCTGAGATTGTGCCACTGTACTCCGGCCTGGGTGACAGAGCAAGACTCTGTCTCAAAAAAAAAATAAAAAAGAGAGAGAAAATCATATAGATAAGCAAGTGGAGATGTTATTGTGGGCATCTATAGAAAATACAATCTGCCACACAAATCATACCACAACTGCCTGCAAGCCCTTTGGGAGGCCGAGGTGTGTGGATCACCTGAGGTGGGGAGTTTGAGACCAGCCTGACCAACATGGAGAAACCCCGTCTCTACTAAAAGTACAAAAAATTAGCCAGGCATGGTGGTGCGTGCCTGTAATCCCAGCTACTCTGGAAGCTGAGCTAGGAGAATTGCTTGAACACAGAAGGCAGAGGTTGCTGTGAGCCGAGATCACGCCATTGCACTCCAGCCTGAACCACAAGAGCAAAACTGTCTCAAAAAAAAAGAACAGGTAAGTTTGCCCTACATAAGAATTTTTAAAACTTCTATGCAGACATTTATTAATACATACAGATGGGGTAAATTATAAAGAAAAATGAGAATAATCAGCGTAAAATTCTATATAACAGTTACATTTTGACCAGGTGCAGTGGCAAACACCTGTAATCCCAGCACTTTGGGAGGCCAAGGTGGGTGGAACATGAAGTCAGGAGTTTTTGAGACCAGCGTGGCCAACATGGTGAAATCCTGTCTCCACTAAAAATACAAAAAAATTAGCTGGACGTGGTGTCACGTGCCTGTAGTCCCAGCTACTCAGGAGGCTGAGGCAGGAGAATCGCTTGAACACGGGAGGCGGAGGTTTTCGTAAGCCCAGATCATGTCACTCCACACTGCAGCCTGGGTGACAGAGCAAAACTCCATCTCAAAAAAAAAAAGTTAAATTTTGAGGAGGTGGTAACTCACCAATTTTACTTCTATAAATCATCCTATGGAATGAACTATGGAATCCTGTGGAATACAAATATATACAAATGTATCCTATGGAATATAAATATACCTTTCTAAAGATATATTTGTGAGGGTATTAATCCTCATTTTATATCAGGGATAGCACAAAAATTCATTGATAGGGAGCCAGTTAAATAATTATGACATGCATACAAATAATGGAATCCTATACATATATTAAAAATGATAGTCTAACTTTTCAAAAGAAGACATACATGCAGCCAACAAGCGTGAAAAAATGTTCAACATCAGTAATCATTGGAGAAATACAAACCAAAACCACAATGAGATAACCATCTTACACCAGTGAGAATGGCTACTATTAAAAAGGGAAAAAACAACAGATGCTGGCAAGGTTGCAGAGAAAAAAAATGCTTAAACACTGCTGGTGAGAATATAAATTGGTTCAGCCATATTAGAAAGCAGTTTGGCAATTTCTCAAAGAACTCAAAGCAGAACTATTCAACCAAGCCATCCTATTATTGGATATATGCCAAAAGGAATATAAATCACTCTACTATAAAGACACATGCATGTGTATATTCATTGCAGCACTATTGATGATAGCAAAGACATAGAATAAACCAAAATGCCCATCGATGGTAGACTGGATAAAGAAAATGTGGTATATATACCATGGAATACTACACAGCCACAAAAAGAACAAGATCATGTCCTTTGTAACAATATAGATGGAGCTAGAGGCCATTATCCTTGATAAACAAATACAGGAACATAAAATCAAATACCACATGTTCTCATTTATAAGTGGGAGCTAAACAGTGAGTACATATGGACACAAGGGAACAACAGACACTGAGGCCAACCTGAGGATGGAGGGAGGGAAGAGGGTAAGGATCAAAAAACTGCCTATCCTGTACTATGCTTATTACCTGAGTGGTGAAATAATTTGTAAACCAAACCCCTGTGACATGCTATTTATATATAACCTGTACATGTTCCCCTGAACCTAAAATAAAATAAAAGAAAAATGATAGTCATGATATATTAGCATGAAAAAAAAATGCTCACAACATTTTTTCTTTTTCTTTTCTTTTTTTCTTTTTTTTTTTTTTTTTTTGAGACAGAGCCTTGCTCTGTCACCCAGGCTGGAGTGCAGTGGCGCAATCTTGGCTCACTGCAACCTCCATCTCCCGGGTTCAGGCGATTCTCCTGCCTCAGCCTCCCGAGTAGCTGAGACTACAGGTGCGCGCCACCATGCCCAGCTAATTTTTGTATTTTTAGTAGAGATGGGGTTTCACCATGTTGGCCAGGATGGTCTCAATATCTTGACCTCGTGATCCGCCCACCTCAACCTCCCAAAGTTCTAGGATTACAGGCATGAGCCACTGTGCCCAGCCCATAATATTTTTTTCAAATGATAAAAGGAGACTAGAGAATATCATGTATATGACAATCCCATCTGTGCCTGTGTAAGGTGGGAGGTGGTTAAAGAGGTGTATGGAAGGAAATTGGTTATCTCTGGATAATGATATTTCTGGATGAATTTACCATCCTTTTCATATTT